TCAGCTGTTCTTTGTTGCAAAGGAATAAAAGTTCAGATTTGAAAATATGCAAGAACAAAGCTGTAGAAATTGCCTGGAATTTCCTCCATTTTCAGCCATCTGGCTTTCATTGTTTTGCTTCTCTTCTCACTCCTCCGTACATGTTTACTAAATCCTTTCAACACGCATTGACCAAGCTATTGAGCAGTTATAATTAATAACACAGTTACAGCATTTTCATTCCCCCCTTTGGTAGATCTTTTTTGCTCACCAAGAGCTGCTCATGCGGCTGCTGTTATAAACAAGAGCAATTATATCTGATTAAATTATGACTGCCTCTGTTTTTTGGATAGTGGATACTGAAGAAAAGAGACTCTTTGGACTTGTGTCATTTTGTTGTTGAAAACAGTAAAACCAACATTACATTTTTTTTTTCTATTTTTCCCCCTTTGGCTATTTTTGGAGTAATTTAGAATGCAAACATAGCAATTAGTGAAACTGAGTAATCTGCCTTTTCATTTTAGAGCTGAGAGAATAAACTTCTAGAAATTTAACATCTATTCTGCATTTTATTCTGGGAAGACTGCTCTGATCAAATACAGATGTATAATTCTGAAATCGATATAGCTTGATTGACACAAATTAAGTGATTTCACTATCAGAGTGGTGAGACACTGGAACTGGTTGCCCAGAGAAGTTGTGGATGCCCCATCCCTGGAATTGTTCAAGACCAGGTTGGATGGGGCTTTGAGCAACCTGGTCTAGTGAGAGGTGTCCCTGACCATGGCAGGGGGGTTGGAACTACATGGTTTTAAGGTTCCTTCCAACCCAAACCATTCGAAGTTCCTATGATTCTATTCTAAAATAGTCATAGTCTTCATTCCTCTCCTTCTGGGAGAAACCATCCTGGTATATTAAAAGAAACGATATCCTTTTTATAGAAAGAGCAAACAAGTCTATACCAACTAATTAATATGAAATTTTACACTGTATGTATTGTGCTGAAAATCAGTTATTAGCTTCCAACTTAGGAACAAACTCCAAGGTTCTTCATTATTTTTCAGCTCAGTGTCCAATGGGACATTTTGTAATAGTGTTTTCCAGGAGAAAAGGGACTGGGCTCTTTTTCTGCCATTGTTCTTGAAGTAATAAGCAAAAACCTCTCAACAAAGTCTGAAACCACAGGAAACTCAGCTGCTTTGGGGTTTGAATATGGATTAAATCTTCCAGTTTTTGTGTGCAACCCATTGTGGTTTTGAAAAACTTAAAATTAAAAAAAATGAGATTTTGCTGACTCTATATAGCTGTGAATATTTGAAGACAGATTTCCATGGTTTAGTTTTTCTGTCTCTCTTCAATGGACTTGGAATAGGAATGTGCTAAGATGCTAAGCTAGAATTTCAGTGGAAATTATAAAGCTCTCTCAGGTACTATACCAGCACCAACACATTTCAGTGTTTTCATAAATCTGAAATATTGCCAGTATGTTCTAGTTTTTACCATATTTTGTTCCAGGAGAGACCAGAATAATTAGGAATTTAAACAGACATTGATACTACAGACTAGTTTCAAAGTGAAGCATTAAGCACATATTGAAGTCTTTTAGTTTACCCACCTTCATTCTTGGTAGGGAGCAAAAAGAACAGCAACAATGAAGATCTGCTTAGCATCATTTATCCCAAGTGTCCCAAAAGAATGAAGTAACACAATGAGAAAGAAATCACTCTTCATGGATTAATCTTACGATATTTGTCCTTAGATGTGAGCCTTCTGACCCTTTAGAAAGTCTGCCAAGATTCTGTTGTTCAATGCTTTTTTTTTTTTTTTTTTTTTTTTTTTTTTTTTTAACATGCATTAAACTAACTAAACAAATTGTTGACCAGGAAAGGCATACACAACTAAAAGGCATACACAACTAACACTTTGAGAGAGTATAGAGAATGTTGCATGTAAGAAAAAGTGCCTGCAGCAGAAGCAACATTAAGATTGGAAGTTCTAATTTTTAACTGTTCTCACTCTTAAGCTAAACAAGGTCTTGAACAGTATTAAATTCTAGATATAGACATTAAGATATAGACATTAGATTCTAAGCATGTTTTGAGGTTCTGGTTCGAGAAATGTCACTGGAGTAATTTCTCTAAATATATCAGGAAGGAATTTTTGTTCTCTTGGGCAAGATTTCTCAGATTTTTTTTTCATGGTGTGGACAACATTGCCTTGTCTTCTGAGACATTTGTCACCAGCTCAGCTGCCTTTTCAACATACTGCCTCTTCTACCCACCACAACTACATGCTCCAACAGTCACTTACACATCAAGGCCATTTTAGGAAAGTGTTTTTTATATTTTTAGCTTCTGTTAATGTAGTTTAGCAGCTGGAAAATAGAGAGAAGAGCCAACACTATGAGACCAGCCAGCTTTTACTATAAGCCGTCAGCAAAAGCTCTGGGAAGTATCAGTGGTTCACAGATCACATTTTGGGAACTTCTGTAAGTTCATAGCTGCAGTGTATTATATCTCAAGTTTTGATCTTGTCATTCAGAAGCAAAACCTTCCTCAACATTTATAACAACAGAATTTCACTCTAACCTATCTGATTCCTGGATCAAGATTTCTTGAATTGGAATCCTGAACCATCTTCTTAATAATCATAACACAGAGGAAATCCTAAGCCCTTTTTCCTTATCAATTATTCTATTTCAAAATCCTAAGATTGTTTTAATTAATAATTACAAAACAATAATCTTTATATACCCAGTGCTATCACTTTAATGACTTTAATACACCTTTGCATTTAATATAGTGCCACTAGTATGTGTAGCACCTCATAAGCTTGCAGGAAATGAGGGCTACCCTGTCACAGCCTGCCTGGAGCTATATGGGAGACACATCAACTTCTCTTCTTGCCTCCTTTTCCATTAGTCATACTGCTTGCTGTCTGCAATCTTGAGTTTTAAGCTTCCTTGCTCTTACCAGAGGAACCATTTTGCAGAACACATGCTGTTCTTCCTCCTGTGCCACTTAAATCTCTGTAGACAGGCAATTTCCTCCAGACTGAAGGGGCTGGAGGACAGGATTTGTGTATACCAGGAAGGGAGCTATTTCCCCTTTTCTCAGTTGCAACCCTAGGAGTGGATGAAAGGTTCTTAATCTAAGCCCCTTTTGCTCCTTCCCCTCCCCCACAGCTATTGCTCCATGTCCTGATCCTCATCTACGTTGATCACCTTTTAGTTTTGGGGGTGAACTACATACCCGGGGCAGCTTTAAAACAGCTCCATGTTGGCAGCAAGATTACCACGGTGGTATGGATTAACACACAGACTAATTCAGCAAATATTCACCAAAATCCTCAGACAACTTTTGTAACAGCAATTATATAAATACCGGCCTATATGAGTGTAATTTTTTTAACCATCTAATATTTTCCGTGTCAGAAATGATGGATCGTCAATCTCTCACTATGCACTCTCAGCTCCAGTGATGCTGTTGCCTGTCAATTACAAAGAGATTTCCATCCACAAAGTTCTTTTCAAAAATTAGTAACATGTTTCTGTCCTAGCACCAGCAATATAGACATTTGTACAAAGCTGGGGTTATAATATTCCCATAAGTAACTCTTGCAATGCTTTGGTGAAATGTGTCAGCCTGTTTGGCTGTGCTTGTCAGACTCAAAATCCTTATCTTCCAATCAAACCATTATTTTTGTCTTTATCATTCTTGGATGCTGGCCATGTTTGATTTTTAACATCAACTTTCTCTGTGTAGCAGGAATCTTCTAATACACAGAAATACCTCTGAATAGCCTGCTGTCATATAAAGCATACATACACCTACCAAAACACACTCTAAGGAAAATCTACCACCTGGACAACATTGCATGTTTTAAACAGTCCAAAGTTATAAATAAGTCTCTTTCAGATCTGCCGCACTACCACAAGAGAGTAAATGCACCTGTGTACAGCTGGAAATAAAGACAATATGTATACAGTAAATCTTCAAGACTTGACAGGCCTAGGTCTATTTAAATAAACCAGGAGAATCTCATGACAGATATTTTCTGTTGTAGAAGGTACAGATGTGAATCTCCGCAGACCAAGAATTGCTATTTTTAGTGTCAGGATAGTGGAAGCAATCTGCAATCAGGGAGGAACAGGTTCTGCAAACCTTCTGTGAAAGTGGAAGTTTTAGAAGTCTCCCTAAACTTTACATGACTCTGGGTAAAGTTAAGCTAATCCATAAAATATCTGGCTGAAGGACCTTAATATGCAAGCAGTCTGAAATCTGGCCTTTGGTTTCACTACTGCTTTGCACTTCCCAGTAAATAAGACTGTGGCCTGAAGAGGTTGTAAGCCCCTGTAATCTGAGAAATAGCATGTGTGAGGCAGGGCACACTTCCAGACTGAAAGGCTATTGGGTCTGGAGTCATGGCTTATTTAATTTTTTTTTTTTTTTTCCCCATACTGCTAACATTGTTTAAATGGCTCTGGACAACATACCAGGCTACAGTCACTTCACACTTGTGTAACTGTTTTATTTTTCTCATGGAATCCTCAAATCCCCCTACTGAGGTCCAAACAGGATCAAAGACCCCTGACCTGGCTATCTTTACCTCCACTAACAGGATCATGCAGCCTCAGGTGTCACTGGGGACTGTCTTCTCTGAGGTACTGTATTATGCATTTTTTCTCACTTTCATCACTTTTTCTCACTTCACATTCACTACAAGGAATCCCAGGGGGTGTGAAACAGATCTGATGAGCCTAGACAAACTGACCTTTGGTTCTACAACCTAGGAAGCATTTCAGGCTCTTATCTACATGTTGTGCTTGCAAGCTTCAGTTTTTCAGTAACGTTTCTAGATTAAAATTTCCAGACCTAGCATCTAAGCATCCTAGCCAGATAGAGCCTGGTTGCCCCAGCTTCATGAAGAGTTTTCTGATTAGTTTGCCATCTTCACTGATGATCACACTCTCCTATGTCCTGAAAACATATACTTCTGGTGATAAGATACAAGACGCATACCTTGGGGGGCAGGGGTCCAGGCTACAGGCTTTCAGTAGCTGTGGAGGACGGCGGCTCATTACGCACAATGTTTCATCTGCAATCTCCCTGGTTTGCTTGTTCAGGCAGGTCACCACAGCCTCCTGGACACCTGCACACAAAAATATATGGTCACTGCTAGCTCCCAGTACCCAGGGCGGCATCCAAAGGCAGAGACAGCCCCACAATTCCTTTTCTCTCCTCTGTTGGGAACAAGCCTTCAACTGTAACTCTTGTAATTTTCCTGTAACAGTCACATATTGCCTACTGTACCTTATGTATCTGGTTTCACAGCTGACAGGTAGATGGTCTAATCAAAACTCTGAATAGGATGCTGGGCTTGTCCTTGCTCTCATTCCCATTATGTGTCTCAACAGCATTGAGAAGTCTGTAGGTTCATTCATTACTTACCTTGCCTGGACAGAAAAATGTACAGTGCTCTCCAGTGATGCCTCCATTCATAGCAAGTGCAGTCATGATGTTTATTTGTCAGCCAGGCAGGTTAGGTGTAAAGATAGCCATGATGCTATATTTTAAGAAACTAAGATTGCTCTCAGTGCAAAAGTAATAAAAAACAAGGTCAGGTCTCAGCTATTTTTCTATATCCTCAGACTAACACCTGCACTGGAGATGCAAAACTGCCAGGTGTGTCTGAGAACTGGTACAGAAGAGAGGTACCTGTGAGGACTAAGAGAGAAGTTGGAAGACTGGGTGATTAGGCTACAGCTTGGAAAATGCTTGTTGATACCAAATTTGTCATGTGCTCTTACACATACCAGTTACTCTGTCTCAGTTTTCCTGTAAAATAGGCATATCAAGATTTTTTGGACCACATGGCTAGATAATCAAGCATTGCAGCACTACACCTTATAGGAAAGACTACATAGTGAAAGAAGTTTGCTGGATCTACTTCTTCCCTGGGGGCTGTGTGGATAATTATTTGCCTAAATTCCCTAAAAATCACAGTGGTTCAAGCAAAATAGAAGTATGCTCTTTACATTCATCTGAATTTCCTGAGTTGGGAAAAGGTTAGCTGAACTCACAATTGCATCATCTTTTCAAAATCAGCAATTAGTTTTTCCAAAATATTTTACAATCTTTTGAAGATACCGGGGGTGGGGTGGGGTGGGGAGGGGTGGGGTGGGGAGGGGGAAAGAGGAGGGGAGGGTGGTGTGTGTGTGGAAGTATGAAGCTCAGACAGCTTCATGAGCAGTGTAACAGAATTGTCAATGCCTTTAGCTATTTCTAACACCAGAACACGTGCCATGAGGCAAAAAATGACATCATTATTACTCTGCAGAACCAATAAACTGCACTTCATCATAGGTTCTGCACTCCTGAAATTATTCGTAGATTCATTCCTCTTATTCTCAGTACAGGCTGAAGAGGTCCACAGAGAAGTGGCATGCTGAACAATTACTATGTTTCTATGTGCTTGTGTAAGCTTATTCAGGACACGCCTATGACCCTATCCCCAAGCATTATCCCTGTTGTACTCAGGTGCTGAAAAGAAGAAAGAAACTTGACAATTTTGGATATTTGGACTTTTTTTCAACATTATAATTACTGAAGACTCTTAAGTCAGCCAACATTGCTATGGGTTTCATTCTTCAGAAGATGGCCATTTTTCAATTTTCAAGCCATTTTTCTGTTCAAATAATCTCCCAAAACACATTTATACATAAGCAATATGCTCTCTGCCCTGTCTTGTTCGGTATCTTTCCAAACCAATTGTTTTTCTGTTGAGTGTGTTGCAAAACAAAGTATATGGACTCCCCTGGGACAGACTGCTGCTGTCTGCAGAACAGAAGCAGTTCTCTAGCTTGTGGGAAATGGCACTGTATTGAAGTTATTGGTCTCTACTTTGCATTGATCACTTGAGCGGGCTTAACAGCAAGGCCAAACTGATGAATGCAGGGGAAAAGGAACACTAGTTCAGAGGAAGGGAAGTGTTGGAAAGTACTTCTCTTAACTGTGTGGAAAGAAACCACAGAGTTCTGCACATGGACGATTTCATTCTCTTTGATAGGGATAAGGCTAAGCACATCTGTTATGTGTTAGATATTTTTCTTTTCAGATCAGAATTATTTTGTAAACTAGGTCTATTTCCACAGCTTCAATTATTTCTCCTCTCTGAAATGTGTCACTAATAAGCTGTTGAACAATGATTATCAATTACCACAGTGCTTTTGCATTGCCTGGTTTGGAGCTGACTATCCAATACTGATTGACTGTAAGCTCTTGAATTTGGCCTCTCCTCCTTTTCTCCATCCCAACCCATATAATTTAGCTTTATCAGGGTCATGGAGTCAAGCTCTGAAACTACTGCTCTTCAGCTATACAACTGTCCCCAAATCCCACGGTGTGCTCATTAGGACCACATCAGGAGTTGAACTTCACCCTTGTGGATCCCTTAGAACTTTGATTCTATGATTCTATTACCCATGCTTCCTCCTGTCACCTAAATTATCTCTGAATGTATTTCCAACAATTTTAGTCTATTATACCAGCATTCTACTCTGCTCATTGTCAGTACTATTCAGAAATTCAGAAATTCTTGCAACTTTTTACCTTATAAAGATTCTAACATGACCATTAATCCTGTCTGATGACCTGGGTATTGAAGAAAAAGGCTCCTCCTGAATTTAGCTAGTCTGTTGTGCCTAGATCAGGTAATGACAGAGATTGCTGGCTATAACAGTATGTGCCAATGATTAAAAAAAAAAAAAAAAAAAAAAAAAAATCTAGATTGCTCTAGCAGCAAACAAATGTACTCAAAACCACTTTTTTTCAGATTCTCCTTGAATCTCGCATGGAATTCATAAGCATATTGATAGCATCTATCCTTTGTTTTTGATAGGTCAATGAGGCGATTGGTTACAAGCTATAAATAAACATAGTAACTCTTTATATTCTCAAAAGGTACGGTGATCCCTATCTGTCAGAAGCTCCACAGTATGGAGATCATTAAAAAAAAAAGTGTATGAACTTCAAGAAATATGCTTGTCAAGTAAGTGAATTCTAAGCACTACTATGGACAATATTACCAGAACAAAAGCTGTTCTCTTTAAAATTGCTTTCTCTAAAAAAAAATAAAAATCATTTTTGAATGGGAAATTGCAATACAAAAGGTATAAGGGTGGGACATGAATCTAAGCAGTTTAAGTTAACTTTCAAAATTCCATCAAATGAGATTTTCTATGTTTATATCTACCAGAATAGAATAATTGTTACATGATATTTGATGACAGCTCTGGGAAATGCAGCCACTAACAGCAGACTAAATGACTAACTAATTCCTTCTGGTTGCTACTTCTAGGAGGTGAAAGGTTACTTCTGCATCTATCCAATTTCTTCTCTTGAGATTCCAAAACCAATGAAATTAGTTTGACCTGTCTTGCGCGTATGGCTGCAAAAGTATCTGACTTAGCATCTGCTAATCTGCAAAATTTAGAGCTGACATCAGACAAAAAGAAATCTTGGCTAAAGGATTTTGCTGACAATTGAAAGATTATAAAGCAAAATGTCTTTGTCATTTCAGTCTATGTTGGAAAAATATGCACATAATCACTGTATTTAGAGAAATGACTTCAACAGGACATTTCTAGAAGATATTCAGGTTTCAGTATTCACAGCGCAAATGCAACAAATCATTAGTGCTCACTAGTAGACTCAATATGGGGCAGATACTCCTGTAAAGTCAGTGTTCATCATCACTTAGTATACGTTTGTGTCAGATTTTTTATGTAGGAATCAGAGCAATAGGGACAATGATACAACAACTCTTTGTGAACTGCTCTAAACACTGACTACCAGCAGCAAGATAAAAGTAAGTGTAGGAATCCCTTGCATTATTTTTCATTAATTTTTAAGCTTGTAACTGATGACTGGTAAATCTGTGCAGATCAAACTATTAAGCATTCATGAGCCATTGAGTGGTTTCCAGTTCTACAGTATTCATTCTGTATTTAGGTATATAAGTAGCCTGAAACTTCTCACGTAAAAAGGGGGCAGTTAAAAAAAATCTAGATTTAATTTTAAAATAATGGAGAGAGCTAAATTTTTAGAACTAGCAAGACAAAATGATGGGAAAAATGAATATCAGAGAACTGCATGTTAGTATTCCCTAACGTGGATCCTGTGACCTTGATTAACTCTGAGAAGCTTCAAGTGTCAAGTCTGCTAGCTTCAAGCAATTACACCATTAGTACTTTTTTACCATATGTTTTCTTAGCAGTGAGATCAGTGCTAGTGGCACTTAGTGGTAGGAGTTACGGAACCAGCTGAGCCCTTAGAATATCAATAATCAAATGCATCTGCTATGGGAGGACCATTTGTTTCCACATGTCTATGTGGAAACTGCACAAGTCAAGAGATAAAAACTAAAAAGGACACATGATTATTGCCTGTATCAAAAGATCACTTCAGTAACTTTTGTGTTAGTGCACTCTGAATGATCTGCAGATACATGAAAACAGTAATACATGATACATTGATCATTCTTGGTGACAGCCAGAGCATGGAACCTCAAAGTCCTGTGTAAAACATGTCATGCACTTGGGAGTTTTACAGTTTTCATCCAAGTCTTTTCAAATAGATATATCAAAGGAACAAGCCCATGGGTGTTCTCACTGAAAAGCATGCACTTAAGGAGAGAAAGCACGTGCAACACAGAAACATTTTGCACTTACCTCCTCCACAGGACTCTGAGCACTCAGTAAAACCCTCGTATTCCCAGTCGTAGAGCTCGTCAAATTCCTGAAAGCTGCCATAGAGCAGGTCGGTTTCCTCTGGAGTATATTCAGTTGCCTCTCCACTGCAAGGGCCACTGTAACAGGCTCTCTGAGACACAGGTTTTGGACCTTCACATTCGTCAATGGGCAAGTCAGCAACAGACTGAGAGAAAGACAGGAGCACTTGACATTTCACAAGTCGCACCTGGCTGCCCACTCCACAGGTGACACTACAGGAAGACCAAGCCTCAGGAATAAACCTGTGAGGGAAAGAGTGAGCATAAGGTGAGCAATGTCCATAAACAACCAGGCAAGCAAAAGTAGCATAGGCCTGTCCAAGCCAAAGTCTGTTTAATGAAAAATAAATGCTTCAACTTATCATGCTATTAGGAAATACACATAAAAACCATGATGTAGGAGTTGAGCTGGCAACTCACCAGCAACAGTAGAAAGGCTCTCAGGAACTTTTGGAATATCTCATCTCCAGAAAGGAAGACAAATGCTGAGAACACCTATGCTTATCCTAAAAGCTGGCAAGGTAAGGAATCCTGGAAACTCCTGATATGCATCACAATCCCACTAACTATTTTTTTTTTCTAGGATTTAACCTAACGCACCTTTGCCTTAGGTGATAACACAGCTCTGTCATTAAAACTTACTAAATAGGCTGTTATATACTAGGTACAGTGTTCCGAGGAAAATAATGTCAACCATTGAACATGTGCTGCAGAAACTGTCTTTAAGACGTAATTCAAAGCCATGAAAAGATAAAAGCCCACTACCTCTTTAGCTTTTACTATTATTATTATTATTCCTAGTGCATTGCATTTCCCTTCTCATTATTAAAAAGGTGTTCCATTTCTATTCTGGATTTTTTCTGACTGTTACTCTTGTCTCTCTGATTACATACCCCAGAGTTTTGCCTCTGAAAGCCTATATATACTTTAATCAAAACACCTTGCAGCTATCCTTACAATAAGCAAAACAGACTGAATTCTATACTTTTGGTGCCATTTTCCTCAAGAATTGCATTGCCTTCCAGGGCAGAAGACAATACATACATCTGTTTGTTCCACAGAATAGGTCTACCTAAACCTACTGGAAATTCATTTCTTACCTTGAGAATCCTATGAGCAGCCTGATAGAGAGAAAAAGGAAATTTAGTTTTGTGATTATCATCCTTTACAGTTTTTGTACGTACTTTTTAATGTACTTTTTATTTATTTATTTATTATTATTATTATCTTTAAATCTACTTCCTTTCTCTAGTTGACGAAAGGACCTTCCCGTCACTAAGGAAAAACCTGAATCCAAAACCAAGAGGGGAAGTTGGTGCCCCCACAGCCTGTATGTACCAGAACCCCTCACTGGAATAACTTGGTCTCTTAAAGCAGATACTGTGCATTTCTCTACCCACTTTTTTGTGGGTGCTTATAACATGTTATAACCCTTGTATCCATTGCTAGCACTATACATGGGAAATAATACAATGGAAATAAATGGATTGTATATATTATTGGAACATTTGGAACTGTTCTTTATACTACTCTCAAAACTGCAAGATTTCATTCTGAAGGAAAACCTTTGAGAAACTAACAAAGAAAAATGATTCAATTTCTCTATCCTAAGACATTCTATCTTGCAAATGACAAAGATTGTTTTTTTATCAAAGACTGTTAGGGTCCAGCGGAGGGCCACAAAGATGTTATGGGGCCTGGAGCCTATGAGAAAAGGCTGAGAAACTTAGGTCTGTTCAGCCTTGAGAAGACTAAGGGATCTTATGAATGTTTACAAATGCCTGAAGCATGGGAGACAGAGGAATTTGGCCAACCTCTTTTCAGTGGTTTGTGGGAACATGACAAGGGACAACGGCCACAAAATGAATCACAGGAAGTTCCACGCTAACGTGCAAAAGAACTTCATGGTGAGGGTGATAGAGCACTGGAACAGGCTGCCCAGGGAGGTTGTGGAGTCTTCTTATCTGGAGATATTCAAAGCCTGTCTGGATGCCTACCTGGGCAGCCTGCTGTAGGGAACCTGCTTTGGCAGGACCCGATGATCTCTCAAGGTCCCTTCCAACCCCTATAATTGGTGATTTTGGTGATTTTTCATTTTGAAGGGATTATAGTTTTTAACAGTACAGGTGGGACACTCATCTTATTTTCTCTCTGCTATTATTATAATACTATTTTGAAGCAGAAAATCTGTCACAGAGTAAACAGTCTATGTCAGCCACTGTGATTTAGATTCTTTGATAAATTTGAACATAAAACTTCTCGGCATGACAAACTAAGATGTAAAAATCTTAGGTTACACAAAAAGTCATTGTGGATGCCTTCATCAAAAGCCGTATTCCCTGTATTTTTTAACATTCAGAATTGTTGTGTAACTTTGCTTTCTGCAAGGGCTGCTGTATTCCAAACCAAAAGGGATTATATTTTGCCAGACATTAAAATTACTCATTTAGAAAAACAGAGATACTTTACACACTCAGAATATTTACACATGATGTATATCACCCATACAAACACAAGAAAAAAAGAGAAAGGAAACAGAAGTAAGAACATTAATAAAGCATACTGGATTCTTTTTGAAATGATACTTGACCTACAAATGCCACATATTACATTATTTTGCCCTTGTCAGCAACTCATAATGCAAATACTGGAATACCTTTAGGAAATTGTATTTTATTCATCTTTCCAGGCCCAGTTTATACATTTTAAGTAATACATTTGAAAGGCAACTTTTTTCAAATATACCTGCTAGCTGCTGGAGTACAGAGTGAATTGGTAGAACCAAGAAGTGAAAGCAGGAAAAAAAAAAGGGGGGGGGGGGGGGAGGGAGGGAGGTAACAAAACAAAACAAAACAAAAAACAGAAAAACAAACATATAAAATCTCCAAACAGGAATTGTCATTAGATACTGAACATTTATGTGATGTGAATATATAGTATACAGAACCAGTATACACCGGTTCTGAATTTTCCATTATCCTTATTTTAATTACAAAGGAAATTACAAAGGCTTTGAGATATCTTTGTGTGGTCATTAATGATAAATGTTGCCAAATGGTGAGCACAGAACATAAAAAGTATTTGAATAATAAGCAGTCAATTCCATGGGTTTAAAGTTATTTGTTCTGCATATAACATATCTTCCACTGTGCACTATTGTGCTTTACTGTATGCTGAAAACTGTGTCTTCTTTGAAAACTAAAGTGGTGGAGGTTTATTGAGAAGTGGATATTTTAAAAACAGGAAATGATGGGGGTGCTTCAGATGTCATTGTACATTGTTTAATTAAATCCTACTTTAATACCAGTCTCTGTAATAACAGCCATAATGAATAAGACAAACATAATGACTAGTTGCTGTAATGTTACAGTAGTAGTGTCAGCCAAAGCCCAACTGGGCTAATTGCTGTACAAATAAAAACAAAAAGATGACTCTTGCCTCAAACAGATTACTTTGAATATTTTATGGCTCATAGCAAACTTCCCAGTGTTATGCATGTTACTATTACATCAAAAATCATCTTTTATTCCTCTGCACAGCAGAAATAACACTTCTTCCATCACAGAAAAATGCAGCATTGAGTGTATTCTGAGTGCTCTGTTGAATATTTTAAAGAGAAGTCTTTTGCTCCCACTTTAGAGAGAGCAGTACTTGGTGAAGTGAAAGATGGTAGGAGGGAACATCATGACCTTGTTCTGTTATTATTGACCTAACCATGCCTGCTGCTACCCAACTGCGTGAGTGCTGCCTACGTTGTTGCACCAAGCTGTGCTATAGCAGAAGGGCACCTCTGCCTGCCACCCATCTGGGCATCTGTGTAGGCAGCAGTTTTCTCAAGCTTGAAAGCAAACAGATTAGAATGAAAGGTGGAAAACTATTACAGGAGAAATAAAAAAAAAAAAAAGATTTTAAAATTGATGTCTCTTGTAAACAAATGCCTATGCTTGTTTCCTTGACATGGAGACACTTACGGTGATGGACCAACAACCATTTCCCATTACAGAAACATGCTGGTAAAATAGCAAGGTCTGGGTTTAAACAATGAATTGCATTTTTGGATGTTCTTTTTTGTTTGATAGCTATTAATGTTTCACAATGTGAGCAAAATTGATGTTAGCTGAAAGAAATGGATTGTTGCATGATTTACCATGCGCACAAAAGCCTACAATGGGCCACACAGTGCTCTATGAACAAAGGAAAAGAAATGTAGTGCCACTGACATTAATGGACTTCTACAGGATTCACTCAGGTGTGGTACAGTGCAAGTTTAAGTTCATTGCTTTTGTAGGATGAGATTTATAAATACATTTTAATGTGACAGCAAAACTAATGTATGGGTGTTTGTACATACACCACTTAATACAAATGCATTGATCAACTTTTGAAACAGTGCAGTCCAGCATTCAGGCTGTACACATACAATTTACCTGCAAGCACAAATGAATTTCAGCTGTTCACAGAATTGCAGGCATGTGTGAATACTGGGTAGGTACCAGTTGCCCAGTTCAGTTTTGAAAGGACCGTTTGCATTTGTCAGTATTAAGTATTAACATTTACATTTAAAAGAACTTTTAAAATTATATAGGAGGAATGCACCAAAAAAAAAAACCAGCTTCTGTAGACTAACTGAGGCATGGCTAAGGATTGTTGTATATTCCCCTCCATGAAGCAACATATAGGTAACTGAGGAAATCAGAAGTGAATCACAAAAACGGATTCAATGCTCAATAATGGGAGATCTTCCACACACTTCACAGTGGGTTCAGTTCAAGACACATGAGGAAGAAAGATGGTATAGAGACTGATATCATTTATGCTATTTAGATTTTTTTTTCCCCACTGCTACTTAAATGACCTATTGCCCTCAGCTTTTATTACTTAATGTCATTTTTAAAAATACATCATTGGGTAAATCTATTATTTAGGCAAAGGCTGAGATTCTGAGAACTGTACATACAAATAAGTCAGGGTGTTAAAAAACACTGAAACCCATCTCTTAAATCTCCTAAAACCAGATACTACTGGTGAAATAAAGTTATCATTGGCTTGTTTAAAGGCTTAGTAGTCTTCTGTGCCAGAACTAGTAACTGAACTCAGACTTTCAGACTCCTTGTCTTGCACTGAAATGCAAGCCTGTCCTTCTTCAGGAGAGGCCACCTTTCTATGGGATTTAACATGTAGGTAATACCACAGGACACTCACACACACCATTGAGGCTGTTCCAAGAAGTGTAACAGAGGTCATGACCACCTGTCAATAAAATTTCAGGGCTCCATCTGTAAGAGTAATGGCACCAGAGGCACTTGTATAGGTTCAATTACAATTGGAATGATTACAATCTATCCCTCTATAGTTTCTCTTCAGTTTAGTTTGAATATGGTCTTTTCTTTCCACTTTGTGTCAAATCACTCTGTATCATTGGTGATCTCCATAAGTTCACCACTGTCTTAATACCCAGGAAAAGATAGCCGAGTCTGTCATTTACAGATACCAACCAATTATTCTAAGCAGTGTTTATTCTCTACAGGGGTGTCTTGAATAAATAGTAAAAACTCATTAACTAATATTAGGTTGTTGCACTGCTCATCTCTGTCAATGATCATGTGGATAGTTTAATTGTATGTAATTAGATCATAATATGGAGAAGTTTCCCTAAACTTGCTTCTTTGTCTTTGTCATATAACACTGATAAGGAGGACAAAAACCAGCATAACATTTTATAGCATCTGTGTGACAACACTACTATTTTGACAATGCAATAGTAATAATGTACCTAATTCTTGAAATAAAGCATTTGGAGGCGGTTTTGAATTTACATATTAACCTGTGAATTTGGTATAAACATAACTGTGGAAACTATTTAACAATGAAAACCAGAATGGCACAGATTCCATGTCTCTGGAAATGTATATACGTTCTGAAAAGTTAGAAAGAGATATTGGGTAACTCTGCCACACTGGCCTCTCTGTCCAAATCCAGTTCCCGGAGGGCTCTGCCCCCCCACTGATGCATGTCAGGAATTTCCTTTTGTTTCATACTGAAGTGGCCCCATCACTACGATGGTGCCATCTGGCATCCAGATATTATTGTTTGCCCTCTTTTTTTCCTCTTCTTTTTACATCTAGTATGAGGGTTATTTATGGCAATATGTTAGAAGCTGGGTATGGTGTTAACATACAAAAACATTTCTCAAGAGTTAGCGACAGAAATCTTTTAAACAACCCCTCCACCACCCATAAAACCAATCTCATTACACACAGAAAAACCCATGCTTTTTAAGTCATGACCGCTGTTCTTTCTGACTCCGCTGTACTGCTGTGCTGGTGTAATCAGCTACACTGCAAGAGGTCAGACAGAAAGAGATACTGTGACTTCTCTCTTTGAGATTTCTCTCTTTATATTTCTAAGGCCTACTGAATGGTTGCTTCAGAGATGGACAGCAATAGGAGAACAATACATACAATGCCATAAGACACTAAGGACTTCTCACCTTGCACCTTTGTCTTAGCTAAGATTACAGTACTTGATTACTGGTCTATTTCCTATTAGTTCTGTCAAAAATTAAGATTTAACTGACTCTGTGTAGGGATGCAGCAGGTCAAACAACACAAATGTAATCATCTCCTCTAGCCTCCAAGTGGCTGAACTGGTTGTAATTCTTTGAGCAGCAGAACCAATGAAGACCAATTTAACATGGACTTGGATTTAAGGTTGAATGTCTAAGTGGATTCTCTGATTTATCTTGTGGACCAAACTCTGTTAGAAAGTGTTCCTTCACCTGGGGAATTAGCAGGCTGACAGTTTTCTGCCTAACCATCTATTTCAGTGAAACACATGGGAAGCACTACTGCTGAATTTCCTGGTGAATATTAACCAAATTTGACAGAGGGGTAAAGTACTTTGTGATAAATTTATATCTCTGTCAAATTCTGTTAATAGCAGTAAATTCAGACATAACTGAGGGAAGAGGAAGGCAAATGACAGACAGACATATACAGACAAAATTAAACTGTAAGACTTGCTTCCTTTGGAAAATCCTGAAGAAATAAAAAATGGAAGTTGTTAGACGCAGACGGAATAAAAATGCGGCATCTGCTGTCCTAGCAGCACAGTTTAGAGAATGATCACAAATTACAGGTGGAAGGACAGTGCAAAAAATGTATGTAGCTTTATGACTCATAGTTTCCTAACAAAACACTATTCAATAGAAAGTAATTATAATCACAAGACAGCATGAGACCTCAAAATATACAAGAAATTTTGTGGAAATTTTCTGCTTTGATTTTTAAATTTCCAATCAAAAGCAAACTTTGAGGAGGACAAAACAGTTGCTTATAGATGGGAATTGCTTTCTTTGCCTGAAGAATGATAATGAAGAAGAGATGACTGTGTTAAGGGCAAAGAGTGGCCTGCTGGCTACAGAGAATTACCCTGTCTGTAGAGGAGAAGGGGAGCAGTGACTTGATGGCATAAGAAAGCTCAGGAAGAACATTGGATGCTGTGTAGAAGGATGAGTCCTTACTGACATCTACCTATGTTCAGTCATGAAATCATCTACTATTGCATCAGAACAGAGCAAGCAGGAAAATCACATAAACATATCTTGTCTGAAGAGACTTCCAGGACTTCAGCTTCTAGCAGATACACTCAGAACTGCCTTCTTAGCACTTGGCTTATCTTGGCTTTCTCTGGAGGTCTCCTCTTTACAACTTTTCCCACTCCCCTCTATGCTGTCTCTTCTCTTCCCATCATTCTTTCCCTGACAAAGTGAGGAGTAAGGTCTCAGAGAAAGTCTGTCCTCAGCTCAAACCAGGTCCACTCTACTGAATTAGGGCAAGGGGAAGACCTGCTCAGAGAAGGAGAAACACACAATTAGAATTAGCTTTTACAAGCCCTGATGTGTCTTCTGAAAATATTTGCAGCAAAGTAAGACACTACAAAGAAATGGGATGCTTAGGTAGATAAACACTAACAAATAGGTGGTCATGTTCTAATTACTCAAATTCACAATTAGAAAAAGAGCTGGCAAAGTTACACAGTCTCACACCAGCTGGCATTTGATCCTGTATCTAAAAAATCTCACAATTTCTGACACTTAGATTAGCATGCAACTACACTTCACGCTGACCATTTATCAGTCAATATGCGTGGGTGATAGTCCAATGTGGGTGATAGTCAGCATGGTGAGCCAAGGGATTCTACCTTGTGTCTCTCTAGCTACAGAAGTAGAGGCCAAAAGATGCATTATCATGTAATTCACCTTACTTTTCAACATATTGGTGTATTTGCAATTGCTATGTAGTCAAGTGATGCTATAAAACTTGGCAACAAAGCTGATTGCTAACTGTGTCTTGGTGAGCTCTGAAAAAAATTTAATATATATATATATGATATATATATATTAATATATATATGATATATATATATATATATCATATATGATATATGATATATATATATATATATATTAATGTCACTATATACCTTTAAAAAATCTATTAAACAGGATTTAAATTGAATATGCCTTTAAATCTAGACATTAAACAAAAACACTATTAATAGTGAAGCACTGAAACCTATTTTCTGGGGAAGTTCACCACTCAAGGTCACTGTCAAGAGATTAGATAGTCTGAAACAATGTGCATATGGCTGTTAAGGTTTACAGACAGGGATTGCATGGATGTGCCTTTCAGCACAAGCTTTTTAATTTTTTATTTGGCCTTTCTGGCTCATGCCTTATCACTAGAAATCATTCCAAGCTAAACACAAGACATTGATATCTCCAAGCTTTGGGAAAGTTTGTACAAAAAGTCTGGCTTTTCACCCTCTATTTTAGCTGTTAGTCAACACGTATAAAAATCTATAGTTGAATTAAATTTAATGTCATATCGATTTCTCATCAGCCTAAAATAAAGACTATTCATGCTTGCAGAGTCGTGCTTTGTAAGGAGAAAGAAATGTACAAAATGTTGCCCCATGGCAGAATGAACTTAGACTAGACAGTGCTCCACTGTATTATTGATATCCCACTGGTATCATTGAACTGTTGCGTGAGATGGGGTAAAAAGATAATGAGACCTTTGCAGGTCAGGGCCTTTATTGCAACAGTAAAATTGTAAAGTAAGGAGATGTCATAGATACTATTATAACTATTTAAAATTATTGAACTCCTTCTTTCCTCATTAGAGCACCACAAGTAATACACACATAAGTTTTTCTAGAGTATTGTGTTAAAATGCATATGTTTATTCTATACAAAACCCTTCTTGCTATATTTAAAGCTACATACAGTCTCATAAAACACTACTGCACTCTTTTTCTACAGTACTGACAACAGTCTTCAAAAAATTTATCTAAAACTTTGCCACTGTATGAAATTGCTGCAAATTTTTCCAGATATGACCAATTATCAGCATGATTCCATTTGGTAAAACTCCTGGCAATACATATTTTTATTTACGCCTTCAGAAATTAATTGCAGTTTGCTAAATGCACTTTTAGTTATGTGGTTTACTATAGTGCAGCAAGCCATAAGCACACATTTAGAAATACAGAATTTTCTAGACTTTGTTAGTGAATAAATCAACTTACAAAGTTTATTCTGGAAACAGTATAACGTCTTATTATATTATATGCTATAGCTGCTACTAATATATATATATATACACAAATATGAATATGTGCAGTTGTATAAATGTGTGTATATAAATGCATGTGTGTATACATGTATGCATTTATGTACACGAGAGATGGATTACTATATTTATTATTTGGAGGGTGCTTTATGTATATCTCTTACTCTGTTTCAGCGTTCCAATTGCACACAAATTCAATTCAGAAAAATTCAATTTGTGCCAAAACTGCAATTCAATTGCTTAATGAATAATATTTATTTGTCCAATACACAGCTGCAGTTGCAACTAAAATACCATGTACTCAGCCATGAGGAACTGATACTGATTAAACTATGAACACAAGTTCCGGTTATAGCACTCATTTTTCATAGTTCCAGGATAAAAAATATGAAACATAATCATAATAGTATTTGTAATTTCTCAGTCTTATTGGTAATGGCTTATTATCTTGTTGGTAATGTCTTATATGATATGCCATTCTTACTGCAGTGTTCTTTTCATTGCTATTTTATTAGGCTAAGGATGATTAATTATTCATAAAGTGCAATAAAACACAATCCTAAAGGAATTTCTGAGAGTTTTTTAGGTCACTTCATTTTTCTAAATTCTCCTGCGCTTCTGCTGTTAATGAAGTGGAATGTATGTGGAAACTACTAGATCCTATTTTCAACAGCACCATGTTGTGAATTTGGTACACCAGTTCAGATTCCTACAATTAGATTTTTTTTACTGATATGTTAAAAAGACAGCTATTACCTCTATGTGGAAATATTCTATTCCATTTTTTTTATTGTAGGCTTCATTTTTTCTTCAGCACTAACTGTTACTATTTTATGCCCTCCATGTGTTCTGGCTTAAAATACACAAAACAGAAGACAAATGAATAAAAAAAAAATAAAAAAAAAAATAGGGACAGAATGAATTAATTCTATATACCCAAGAAAAGAAATGTAGTTTCCACTATTTCAGGCAGCCTAGGGCATGCAAGGGTCCTATGTATACATAGGGCCTCAATGTATACACAAAGGTGACACAACCTTAAGTGTACTAATTTCCACCACATCAGTTCAGTATAAGCTCCAAATCCTCATCTCACAAGGAACTGTTGTGAACAAATTTTTAAGACTTACGATGGTTCTTCAGACACCACTGCTCCTTCTTCCAGCTCTTGAGCCTGTTTGTACCATGGCAACTTTGCTTCCACAGGAAGTTTCTCTACAGAACAAACACAAGCACATCAAAACAGAAACCATGCAGCAATGCTCCTATGTGTGCCTGCCTCTCCTCTCTCACTAAGCCTCATGTATGCCTTCATTCACGTGGAGGCTGAGCACAAGAGAAAGGGGACAAGTGACAGAATTATGGATTTCTTATTATGGAGCTGGATTATAATATATTTCTTATTATGGATATATTTCTTATTATGGACCTGGATTATAAAGCTCATGAGATTAGTTATATGACCAGATAGTTTATTATTGCAGCTAAAAACTCTGTGGTGTTCTAAGGTGAATTAAATCACATTTCAGAACATGCAACTGGGCTACAAACTAGGCACATTTAAAAGTATTTTTTTGGAATCAGACTTGCAAGTGTAATGACTCTCCACTGAAAGCTGTGAAGGCAAAATGTATAAAATCCTTGTGCTCACTCTTGAATTTTAGAACTTCAGAAGACACATTAATCTTATTTCTGATAGATTACAAAAAGGAAGAAAATCCTGATTTGATGAGTGATACCACAAAACCCAGAGAAACTGTAATAAAATGGTCAAGCTATACTTTTCAACTTTATCAGTTCATCAGCTATGTGGGTTTAAAAAACAAGCTTGATACTTTTTCTGTCATTTCTGATGGAAAACAGTGGAGCTGCTTTTTCTCCCCTCCAGGATATGCATACAACATAAAGAGTTTCTCTGTTCTGGAGAGTGCAGGGCCATTCCATTTTTTGAGCCAAATTCCACTCTCATGCAGTGTCAAAGTGGAGCATTTCAGCTGAAGGCAGTGGAGCTGTTTTAGCTCTACAGGAGTATAAAGAAAGAGCAAATTTGGCACCATAATTTGAAAATGAGTTCTGCATTTTAACAAAAATATTTTGGGCCAGGATCAGGATAAAAACATAAATAAAGCAAAACTCAGACCACTGAAGAGAACAAGGTCTAGGCTTACTTGCCATTCAGAAGCCACATAAGTCTCTCAAGTTTAGATAATGTGTAGATATTCATTTGCCAATAAGAGCAGATTAATGTCATTCAGAATATTTGGGAATTTTCTGTAACTTTGTTGTAAATAAGAATGACCTTTTTATATATGCATGTGAAATTTCCAAACTGTTAGATGTACATGTATCATCAAGGAACAATAATTTACAACATGATTTCACAGCTACTGCAGCTTTTCTTGGAGCGAGATATTAACTGGGGAGGAAAGGGACAGTAATATAGTTACTGTGCCTGTCTACCAGAAATATCTTGCCAAGTTCTTACTCTAATATATTTATTAGTGCCATTTGAGGGTGAATATTTGCCAGCACAGCTCTTAGTTTAATCCATATTTTACCGCTTTTGTTATCCAAAAAATGTAGGAGATATTTCTATTTATATGCATTGCAGTTTGTTTTATGGATTTTGGAAAGCCAGATCTTGCTTCTACACTATTTTTTTTTCCTTGGACCCAAGTGCTTGTAAAAAGCAAAAGGTCTCATGTACAGTTGTATGCTATGTGACTTTTTAAATAAGATTTCATTTTTAGAGGTGTGTATTCAACAGGAGAGACAGGTAAAGTCAATTATAATCCACATTGTAAAATGATTTGGAGGATCAGAAATGTTATATAGTGTGCTTAGATGAAAGGAGAGGAGAGGAGAGGAGAGGAGAGGAGAGGAGAGGAGAGGAGAGGAGAGGAGAGGAGAGGAGAGGAGAGGAGAGGAGAGGAGAGGAGAGGAGAGGAGAGGAGAGGAGAGGAGAGGAGAGGGAGAGGAGAGGAGAGGAGAGGAGAGGAGAGGAGAGGAGAGGAGAGGAGAGGAGAGGAGAGGAGAGGAGAGGAGAGGAGAGGAGAAACTGACCAAAACTAAACAACTGTCAGTGCTAAACATTCTCTTAATATTAATGACTGGGAGATGTGGTGAAACAATATTAAGAGCCTGCCTTAACACACCTTGAGGAAAGAAGGAACTTGGACCATCAAGAAAGGAGTGTGCTTTAAAGAAACTTTGATTTATTTTCACCTGTGGAAGGACTTTTAAAAAAATCCTGTCTCTGCACATAAAAAACAGACTTTTCAGTTTCACATTGTAAGAGTCACATTTTGTGGTGTTTGGTTTGGTGATTCAACTTGCACCCAATCTGATAAAAGAGAGAGAAATGGGATGTCCATGGAAAAAGATACAACTTGATGAATTCACAGGAATTTTTCCTTTGTTAAGGATTCTTTAAATTGAAGGAGTGTAATGTGAGGGAAGGAAGGTTCTTTTTGAATGTAAGTGCACAGCACTTCCACACAGTGTTTTGTTTGTTTGTTTTTGTTTTGTGTGTGTGTGTGCTTGTTTTGTTTTGTTTGTTTTGTTTTCTCCTTTTCCCCTTTCCATTTTTCCTTTAGTTAAATTATTTATTAATAATAATTTTCCCTTAAAATTATTTTTCCTTTGATTAAATTATCCTTATCTCAACCAATAAGTTTTTTCTTTCCTTTTCTTCTTTCTCTTCTCTTCTGAGGAGGGGGAGTGAGAGAGCAGTTGTAGTGGAGTTCAGCTGCCTAGCAAGGTAAAACCACCACAACGGCACAAAGAACAAAGCTGCTAGTGTTTTCAATGTTCTTTCCATATAAAGCTGCGTATTGGGTAGTTTAGAAGTCATGCCACCCTTTCCTTCACTCACTCTGCAATTACGCTAGTCTCTAAGAGCAGGTGGAGAGTTCTCCATCTGCACTCCATCTGCAATGTCTTCACAAAAAGGCACATTCAAGGAGTGATTCTTATTACTATATGGTGAAGACACAATTGCACAAGCACGTGCATGTTCTTCAAAACTGCAAATTCAAGTTCCATCAGGATTCGTTTATCTGGGCTGTCTTCTGAGCTGCAGATTGCAAATACAATAGCATTCTCTGCTGATTTTTAAAATCAATACCAAGGGGTCTGATTTCATCAATTATCATGTTCACACTCCTTTACAACCAGCCTAATCATTAGGCACATTTACACAATATTCATTGTTCTTTACCTAGGTATTCCCCCAGGATATTGACCACCTTTAGGAATTCCGTCATTTGTATGTTAGATTTGCATAAATTCTCCAGAAAGTATCAAGGAATTTCCCTATATTTAATTAACTAATTTAAAACTAGGCTCAGTCAAACATTTGACAGTATACTGAATAAAGCACAAAAGAATTTAATTTCTTGCTGTGCAGCTGAAAGTGATAAGATAATCTAATGCAGCATCTCCCTGTCCAATATTCATAGTTGCTCAATCACTAGTGATTAAAAAAAATCTCACTTTATGACAGCTGTTTCTCAGAATCGCTCAGTTCCCCCCCCCCTTTTTTTCTTCTTTTTGACATTATGACTCCTCATTTCTCAGCTTGAAGACACATTTTTTAAATATTTTTTTTAAACAGCAGTATATTTTACTGTATCTATCTTCATTAATCTCCATTATTACTAAGTTATATATCTGTAAAGCACTCAGCTCCTCTGCAGCACAGAGGGCAACTCACACCATATATCATTTCACACAGTCTGTTATGACATTGAGTTTCTTTTGAGAGAAAAACAAAGAAAAAGATTCCTGGAGTAAGATTTTCACCCATAACCCTTAATGAATATGTAACAGCAACAAGAAGACAGCAAATCAGTACCTGGAAGTCTGACTTATTTGCACAGACAGACTTTGCAAACGCGTGTGTTTTTGTATTTTTTTTTTAAATAAAATAAATAAAAAAAAGAAAAACACAGATAATAAAATGACAGTTAAAAAAAAAAGTAGTATCACATGACCTTTGCAAAAGAAATTTAGTGTTAAATGGACTTGTGATACAGTTCAGAAACTTTGAAAAACAACAAAAAAACAAACAAAAAACACATCATTTTCTCTCTTTTTTTTTTTTTTTTAAAGATTAATCTAAAACTTTTTTGGACCCACTGCTGGCCAGGAGCTGAGCCAGTGAACAATGCTGGGAGAGGAGAGGAGAGGAGAGGAGAGGAGAGGAGGGAGGAGGAGAGGGAGGGAGGAGGTGAGGAGAGTAGGGGAGGGAGGAGGCGGAGGAGGAGAGGAAGGAGAGAGGTGGAAAGAGGAGAGGAGGAGGGAGAGGACGGGAGAGGAGGAGGAGGAGAGGAGAGGAGAAAGGATGAGGCGGGAGGAGGGAGGGAGGAGGGAGGGAGGACGGAGGAGAGGGAGAGGACAGGAGGGAGGGGGGGGATGCGGGGAGGCGGATTTTGAGGGAGAGGAGGAGGCTGGAGGAGGAGGAGAAGGAGAGGAGGAGGACGAGGGAGGAGAGGAGAGGAGAGGCGATGAGATGAGGGAGGGAGAGGAGAGGAGGTGCGAGGAGGAGGAGAGGAAGAGGAGAGGAGGAGAGGAGGAGGCTCGGAGGAGAGGAGAGGAGAGGAGAGGAGCGGAGAGGAGAGTAGAGAGAGGAGAGCAGAGGAGAGGAGAGGAGAGGAGGAGAGGAGATTGAGAGGAGAGGAGGAGGATGAGGACGCGGGCGAGGAGAGGAGGAGGATGAGGAGCGGAGGAGGAGAGGGAGAGGTAGAGGAGAGGAGAGGAAGGAGAGGAGAGGAGAGGAGAGAAAAGAAAGGAAAGGAAAGGAAAGGAAAGGAAAGGAAAGGAAAGGAAAGGAAGAAAGGAAGAAGGAAAGGAAGGAAAGGAAAGGAAAGGAAAGGAAAGAAGGAAAGGAAAGGAAAGGAAAGGAAAGGAAAGGAAAGGAAAGGAAAGGAAGGGAAATCACTTCTAACATACACTACTGAAGACATTTTAATTTTAGACAATAAGGTAAAATATCTTGTTATAAGAGTTCCAGTGAAAAACACTTAAATCCTATATTATACGTAAAGTTCTATTACATGAATGCACATTTTCTATTAAAATTGAAAATCATTTCTTAGTCCAGGGTTATCCTATCTTTTCCCATTATTGGTGTAAGACAGAGTGCTTGAATAAACTAAAATGAAACAAATAACATTGACTATTTGCATTTTGATTTTCTTTAGGATGTGCATTAAAATAAAAGTGTATTCCACAGCTTTTTTTTTTTTGTCTTGATATTTTAATTAACTAGGAACATTATTTTCCTGCTTTATTTTAATCCAGCTCCAGAAGGAAAAAACACACTAAGATTAAAACATTCAAAAGAAGTGAGGTACTTTACTACAACCACTGCTTTAAATTCATAATGCTAGATTCATGACAAAAAAAATAACAAGCTTCCATCATATAAATGGAATAATTTGGATTGGAAGAGACGTCTGGAGAATGTCTGGTTCAGCTTTCTTCTGAAAGCATGATATAGCCTTCAGTTACATGGGTCTTCAAACATTACCACCTGCATTATAGAGAAAGAACTGAGAGGGAATTGCAGAACTCAGATGAAGAGTAAAATTAAACCCAATCAAAACAGTATTCTTCACGTAGAGCCTGCCATCCCATGTGAGAAAATGGAAGAAAGAAAGAACCACCTACAACTGGATACTAATGATATATTTACTACAAAGTGCAGCACAAGAATTCATCTAGGGTAAAGATGCCACTCTGTTGCAAGTCTGCTTCCAGCAAGCAGCCATGTACAGCAGCCATTTGTTCCCAGACAAATCCCATTGGAAGAGTCTTCTTGATGCAGGCAAGAATAGCTTTCCTAGCTGGTCTTTCAGCTTTTCCCAGGTTCCATAGGCAGAAGTCAGTTGTGGGTGGTATACACCACCTGATTTTTGGCATCTTACTGCATTTTGCTTACACTGCATGTTGCAGGCAAACAGGAGTTTGCTTTACTTGGGATCTGAACATTATAAATAGATAAAGACCCATAAATGTGGCTGTTTCACTGAGCCCAAGTCCACTGCATCTCAGAGTCATGATAGTGAAGCCAGTATGAGCCTTTTATTCATCCTGGAACATGGATTGATGGAGCTTATGTTGTCTAGTAGTGTGCAGTGTAAACACACCCATTGTTCTCCTGTGGCCCTGCGTCTTGGTTTTGCCACTGGGTGGCTGGTAGATGCAGTGAATTCCAATGTTCCAGCCAGACTGAAACCTTGCAGCTTGACAAGCTTGTCTAATACAAGCCAGTGAGCACAGAAACTAAAATTCCAAATTTCACTCTTTCATCTCAGATCAGTATGAAGTCACAGGTCACTTCATAATAAGGGTTCTTAATATGGACCAGGACGGCAATTCATTTTCCAGAAGGGATTGATTTTTTTCTTATGTTGGAGTTTAAGTCCCTAATTAAGTTCAGCTACATTGCTGGAGCTCAGAAATTACCATCAATTACTTGAAGGTACAGACACAAAAAAGTTTCATCAATAGAGATGTACATACACACAAACACATACACACTGATATACCATTGGAAACAAATTCTTGTGACTGGTGCTACTGGCCATTGCCCATTTACCTAGTCTCCAGGACTGATGGGACTTCTATCCCATAAGAACATCCAAAGGGCTGGAGAAGTTTGTCCTTCTCTCAATAAACTGTTGGGAATTTACCCCAGTCTTACTCTGTGGAGCCCAAGTCAAGAAATCATACCAATTGTGAGTCCCTCTTGTATAAAGATGCTTCAAGTATTTTTGCAGCTTTGCTAGTAAAAGGAACTTCACGGTGCAATACACAATGCTTGTTTCTGTCTGATTCAAGCAAACAACTTGTGAACAGGCTCTTCAAAATTATGGCTACATTTATCTAATTTGATTGTTGTTTACATATTTAATTCCTTTAGAATACAGGGCAAATTTAGCTTTGATATGATCAATGTGGTTTAAACTGCTTATACTGTGGCCAAATTTACATTTAGTTTTGCTTGCTGGATCGCAAATTAACAAAACTCTAGAGCTTATGAGAATGATGAACCGGAATTCACTCTACCTGGCTACCAGGCAAACAGGAATGGCAGGCCTTAAATATACAAATTCAGAATTCATTGCAGGTGGAGACAGTGCTAGTAATGACAAAACAAAATTGCTCAGCATGGACAAATGCTGAAAAATTTGTGAGAATCATTCTCTCATTACCTTTGGGTTTGTAGCAAGGAGTGGGTACAATGCATTCTTCTTTTATGTGTGGCTTTGTTTTAGAGCTACAGCCTCCTGTATGTATCCCTCTGTGATCAATGCAAAGAACCACGCGGTATCTGAGCCCTTGCCCACAGGTCACAGTGCACTGCAAAAAGGAAATATGAGGAATGAGGCAATGATTGCGGTAGGCCATGAGTGTGACAAACAAAAAGGGAATGTGCAATAGAAGTACATGTACAGCAGAGGTCAAAACATGATGCAGAAACACTCAACCCTGATTATAAATTATTCATAATATTTAGTAGTTACGGATAAGGCATAAAATTGGCATATATATTTACCTTTGTGTTCTGCACATTTATTTGGTTTAGACATTTAACCCCTGGAACCATTCTTTTTTCTTTTTTCTTTTTTCTTTTTTCTTTTTTCTTTTTTCTTTTTTCTTTTTTCTTTTTTCTTTTTTCTTTTTTCTTTTTTCTTTTTTCTTTTTTCTTTTTTCTTTTGCTGTGTCACTCTTTCAGCACTGGCTACTTGGCTTGTGGCCATCCATCCCAGGTTGGATTTGCTCAGTAACACCCTGTCAACTTCATCTGAAGCCATTCTGCTTTGCTTGGACAAAGTATTGGAGCTTATGGGTTAACAGGGGTGACACAGATATTTTGAAACATAGCACCAAACAAAATGGGAAACTATTTAGGCTTTATTCCCTCAGACAATTAAGTCTTTATTTATTTATTTATTATTTATTTATGGTAAGGTATATCATGTTTTCACCTCCCTCTCCATACTTTTTATAAGCTCTTTTTAAGTATTGAAAAGCTACAGTGAGGTCTGCCCTGGAGCCTTCTCTTCTTCAGGCTGAACAGACCCAGGTCTCTTCATAGGAGAGGTGTTCCAGCCCTGTGATCATCTTTGTGGCACTCTAAAAGAGCACATCCTTCATGTGCTGGGGGCCCCAGACCTGGACGCAGTGCTCCAGGTGGGGCTTCATAAGGGCAGAGTAGAGGGGACACCTCTCTCTCCCTGCTGCCCACCCCTCTGTTTATGCTGCCCAGGATGCAGTTGGCCTTCTCGGCTGCAAGCATGTGCTGCTGACTCATGTCGAGCTTTTCGTCCACTAGAACCCCCAGGTCCTTCTCTGCAGGGCTGCTCTCAGTGAGTTCTTTTCCCAGTCTGTGCTCAAGTCTGGGATTGGCCCAACAAAGGTGCAGCACCTTGCACTTGGACTCGCTGAACCTCATGAGGTTCTCATGGGCCCACTTCTCCAGCCTGTCCAGGTCTCTTCGGATGGCATCTCTTCCTTCTGTTGTATCGACTGCACCACTCAGCTTGGTGTCATCTGCAAACTTACTGAGGGTGCACTCAATCTCACATCATTGATAAAGATATTAAACAGCACCAGTCCCACGACAGACCCCTGAGGTACACTACTCGTCAATGGCCTCCACCTGGACATAGAGCCATTGACCACCACCGTCTGGGTGCAATCATCCAGCCAATTTCTTATCCGCTGAATGGCCTACCCTTCAAATTCATCTCTCTCCAATTTGGACATCAGGATGTCATGTTCACGAAAAGCTTACCGCTTTTGTTTTGTGCATTTCATTCATGTTCCCAGTCTATTGTTAGCAGAGGATCACAAATCAGTATTACAAATCTGATTTATTCTTCCATGATTCTCCTTAATCACACTAATCCTATGAGTACACTAAACCTCAGTATTTACTTTGTAAATAGACAAATAACATCATTGAAACAGAAGTCATGGTAATGAGGAAGGAAAATAATGGAAGATAGTAATTCAGCATGCTTACTAAACTATTGGCATTATTCTCTGATTTTAAGATGTATTCTTAATAGAGTAAATACAAAACCATCAAAGCAAAACTCATTACCGGTGACCACTCCTGAGCAAGCCACTTTGGGCAGTCAAATATATTGCAAGGTTGGACAACAGGCATCTTCAGAGTATACATGCATTTCCATTCTTCGACAGGGCTAATATGCCCTTGAATGTCTTCCTCCACACATGAGACACTGCGGCTTTGAATGCCCCCTCCACAGGAGGAGGAACAGGCAGTCCAGGGTGTACTTTCCCACCTGTGAAAAAGCGAAATGTAACAGAGAAATGTCAGGAAAAGGAACCCTTGCTGCCCACATCACAGCCCCACAAATGCGTGAACTGTTATCTGCAGTTGGTTTTCTGTTATTTCTGGTTACTGTCAGTAAAAATTGCATATGCATGGTTTTGTAAATGGTGAAAACAACAAAGGACTCCAATGGGTGCTGTCGTTAAGTCATAGACTAGTAATGTGAAACCTTCTCTCTCCACTAAACCCAAAACTACTACCATAGAAACTAAACTTTTAATTCAATTCAATAAAATTTAAATTCAATTTAATTCAATTCAAACTTTTAAATTGATTCCTTTTATTTAATTGATGGGATTATCAATTCTCCCCAACTTGCCAAATTCTGAGAAATCTTTGTTACAGATTAATAGAGAGTCAGTAAGGTCCTGAACTTATGATGTTCCTTTTGCTAGAGTATAGAGGGAAAAAGAAGTGTGTTTTTTTTTTTTTTGGGTGAAACAACTGAGTTGAGGAAAATAAAAAGAGAAAAAAAAAAAAGAGTAGTGGAAATTATCAAATAAAAGGAGAGGAGACTATACTGACAGGTTACATGGTGTAGACCACATAGGCCTTGCTTCTTTGCATCTGAGACAGTGGGAGGAATTCAGAAACTATCTTTTCTCAACAGGTGCCGTTTGAAAATGTAATGACAAATTCCCAGAACAATGTGTATGTTCTGAAAAGTCATGCATACTTATGAGAACAATCTTTTTTTTTTTTTTTTTTTTTTTTTATGATGCATATGTATTAATGTATGTATCATTTTATATTTGTGTATGTCTGTTTGCATAAAATGCAGACTGGTATTTCCTCTCATATTCAAACCACTGTCATAGAGAGGACATAGGACCACTGCCATGATAGCCATAAATGTGGTTATTCCTTTTGACAAGAAAATTTGAAATAATATTTGAAAGATTGATTTTGGTCACAATTTTTCAGTTTTGACTTTTTTTTTTCTTTTTTTTTTTTTTTTTTCCTTCCTAATCACAGCAAAGGAATTATTTTTAAGTAACCCTGAAAGGATCACCAAAATTGTTAAACAAAATGAAAAATACTTATCTTTCTCTCTGACTTTTCATCATATCAACCCATCTTATTCTGACCAGCTCCAGTACGTTTAAGCACTACCCACAGTTGGCTAATGGCTAAAAGTGTAGTAAAACCCTGTGTGAAATGGTTTATATTAATAGCTGTAATCCACTGACTGGTAAGTTACCACAAAGAAGTGGTGAAACCACATTTACACCATATCTTATACATCATCATGCATAAGCTCTGTATGCCACAAATGGATAACTAGACAACATTTTTAATTCAAATGTGTTACCTGTGGCTCTTCTGGACAAGTTTCCCAACTAAGGTTTCTAAATATGAAAAATCTAAATGAAGAGGTCTCAAACTGAATTTTGGAAGCAGCAGAAACTCCTGCCACCAGCCTGAGCTAGGCATAGGAGTGGTGTGGCTGGAATTCCATGGGACATGGAATGTTGTTCCACTGGGACAGGCTGCTAGATGCCTTGTGCAACCTTGGCAATACAAATCAGCTTAAATCTAGGCCAGCATTGGTCTTTAGGTTTTATATGAGTATAAGGCAGAAAGGTAAAAGTTGTCTCTGCCGTACAGCTCTTCAAGAAGGAGTCACAGCTCCTTCTGAGTTACAAAGGCTGCAGCGCTGAGGATTTGTGAAAGGAAGTGGTAATGCATTAAGGTAAGCGCTGTGTCTACTGAACTGTACCTTTCCTTCAAGACAAAATTTAAGGCAGAGGGAACAATAGGGAAATCTTGCAAAAACACTTTCTCAGATTTCGTCTCTACTTCTTCAGTATTGTTTGTCATTCTCCTCTGCCCCTGGTATTAGGTGCTACTATCAGACAAGTTCTTTTGTGTGTGTCTGTGTGTTTGGTTGGTTGGGGGGATTTTTATTTTTTCTATTTTTATTTTTCATAAACTCTGCAGGTTGGGAGGAAAGAAATATTTTGTCCTTCTGGCTTAGCCCTCTCTTGCGCTAGCCTCATATTCTGTTCAGTGTCTCTTGCCTCTGTCTCTGAGAGAACTGATCTGTGGCTGTGTCTTCCATTAGCTCTCACTGTGGTCTGAATATGATTTCTTCATATCAAGCTGAGACTACCATGTTACCAAGGAATATATATATATATGTATATATATATTTTTTTTTTCCTGTTGTCTGATACTATGGAACACAATAAATTAACAAAGGAAGAAACAAAGCACAATACTGCTGCGTGTCCAGGCAATGTTTCAAACCCAATGGGTTATTCTCCATCATTTTTATCAGCATGAGCCTTATTAACTGTTTTAAAAGTAATTACTAAGGTAATTATTTTCATAAGAATCTCACGTCTTACATTAAAGACATTTTAATTGTGAGATATTAAATAACATAAACCAGGCCTTGACCCTATTCCTGTCCCTGATCTCTGGGTTCTCAGAGGAGCCAATGGATTAATGACCCTGGGAAGGCATTAGCATTGGTTTGCTGGATCAGGACATATCACACATGCTATGTAAAATGAAAATTTCACAATTTGTAAGCATGCAGGAAACAACACTGTCAAATAGAGGGGTCTGATGGTTCATTGCAAAGCCATGGATCACAGTGTTGTTCACAGATGAATAAAGGGAGGGAAAAGGAAAGGTGAGACAGAAGATGGAGGGACGGGCAGGGTGGGGATGGATGGGGGAAGAGTGAGAAAGAAAGGGACCACACACTTAATAAAGCTACATTACTGCTTCAGCTAGAATACCATTTCAATTCTGCAGCAACAGAATTTATAACAGGTTAGTGTTTCAACATCTGCAGGTTAATGTGCAGCAGTTCAGAGCAAGAGGAAAGATGCATCTGTTATCTTGATTTGAGAGGAAAGCAGGAATACAGAGAAGACTAAAAAAGCCATAAACGTATTAGATATTTCTAGCATCTGGTTGATTGTTTTACATACCGAGGAAGGGGATGGTAGAGGTCATAGGGCATGATCTGCTTGTATCCATCACTGTTAGGAACAATAATGCCAACCCTCTGAGTAGAAGGTACACATAATAAAATAAACACTAAATGATTACATTATACATCTTTTTTTTTTTTTTTTTTTTTTTTTTTTTTTTTTTTTTTTTTTTTTACATAATATTATATCTCTCTCTCTCTCTATAAAACACAACAAAGATATTTTACCTAAGTTTCACAAAGATCAAAACACCAATTACTACTTTTTTATTTTTATGTTATGAAGATACTATCCTTTGACTAAGAACCAACCTATTAACATAAATGATCCAAATGAACTGTTCAAATATTACTTAAATTTCTAAAGTGACTCTCTGCCATAAAGAAAAAAAATCTACATGTAATACTTTCTTAGAGTTTGGATCCAAAGTCACTCATAGGAGAATTGTCCATTTCAGGGAGCTCTAGATCAAACTCTTTTTTACCTATTATGTGGTTGTTTCTGCCCTTCAGATAAAATGTCTACTTTTAGTGGGGCTGGGATTAGAAACAGAGAATACCACAGTGTAAGTACGCAAATCTGCGATTCATATCTCTTCACTTTAAATCTGTTGCATTTCATTCATCTTGAGAACCTGTCTCTTTATTTGAGCTTTACTGGAAGCCATAACAAACTGGAGAGAAGAGTAACATGTCAAGGATTGCTATTTTTTCTTTGGCACTGACTTGACTGATTGGCTTGGCTAGCTAAAATGTAATTAGCACAACATCTAAAGCATATAACATCTATTATAACAGGCAATAGTGTAGCTCAAAATTAGTAATTATCTGAACCATTATCATGCTCATAACATGTGAGATGGATATCATTTGACATATTGACAACTCCAGGGACTCACTGAATTGCGAGCCTGGAATTTCATACTTTGTCTGCACTTTTTATAGATTCTGACAGAGTAACTCTCTTCCCACATCCTCTCCCAATTATTAGGCATGTCTATTAATGTGAAACATGATCCCAGAGCACCTCATATATCAGTTTCATTAGAGCCAGTGTGCAACTTAGATGGTGCAGGTGGACAGAACTATCAGAGAGTGAATGCCAGTTGTAGTAGAATAGAGAGCATGTCCCTACACAACTAAGAACAAGAGGAAACTAGCTGAAAAGAATAAGGGTGGTGTTTGAGAGTCTTTTGTAGAAAAGAGATTATATATATTTTGCTGTGTATTTCTGTAAGGAGGAGAGAGCAAAGGGTGGGGGGAGAGAGGAGGGGGGAAAGGAGAAAGTATTCTCCATCCTCAAAACAGTTCCCTGAAAAGTGGTGTAAGCATTCAAAGGAAACTTGACATGCTAAGTCTTCTTTCAGTCAACAGGGTTTTTATGGGCAATTTGACTGTGATAGGAGAATGGATCCCATTGTGTTTTCACAGTGAAAAGTCAGCATTAGATAAGTGTACTGGAATTTTCCAGCTATTTTTTCCAGGATTTTTTTTCAGTGGTGAGTTATGGACAACTCTTTCTCAGGTTAGCAACCTTTGCAGTCACAAAAGTCTTCTGTGCTGGTCTGCTAAATATTTGTATCTACAGAGAGCTGCCCATCTCCACAAAAACTAAAAATCTAGGGCAGACAGATCTGGTATTGGGAAACTTTGGAAAAGACAAAAGTGTTACTTATGCAATGGCCAGTGAGAAAGTCTTTTCAGACTTTGACTGACTGATAAATGCCTGCAAAAGTTTGAGAAATAGACTTTTTTTTCTTTCTTTTTGATTCTTTTGGGAATCTCTGCTGTTTTCCTGACTGCCCTACCACTGCTGCTGAGTTCTCTGAGCACTCCGAAGCCTCTTGCACTTTCTAGCTCATCAGCTTGCTGAGGAGTGGTTGGAAAAAAGATTAATATACCATGTTCAGAAATGCAATAATTATACTATAAAAGCATCTACTGCCTAAGACAGAGATTTCAAAACATTCTTCTCTCATTGCAGTGAGGAATGTTTTCTTTCTAATAAACACAGTCTGTATGCATAATCCAGGTCTACATGCATTAGAATGCATAATATCCAAGGCCATTCCAGTGGAAATAACTGTACCACGTCCAAACACTGTTGTGAAGATTAAATAACATTTACAAAGCATTAAATTAATATTGTCATTGGAAAGGCTTGACCCTCAAAGAATTCTGCACGTATAAATTGCATTTCTGTAAATGGTATAAAGCATCAAAGGATTATTGACACTGTCCTTGTGCATGTGAGAGGTTGCCAAAGGCTCTCATACTACTACTGCAAAATGGTGATTCCCAGAAAGGTAAGCCCCATGGTCACAATGAAGAAAAAGACCCTCACACTAACACAGAAAATTTAAATTTATGACTTTAAACATCAGCTTGAAGATACAACAGAACAACAGATGGGTATTGTACCATTAATGGCAACTGGATTTTTATTAGCTAGTGTTATTGGTTTTGTTTGTTTGCACACACAAAAAAGGCAGACCTAAGTGAACTATAAAAAAAGAAAACAGAACTCTCACATATGACTTGGGTGAAATGTACTTTTTAAGTGGACAGAGTGGCTTAAATTCCATGAACCTATCAATCCATCATAATCCTACAAGAATACAGAAGAGATCTAGGATACAGGATTTGATCACTGTTCATTACTCAATGTGATGAGTATAATGTGCTAAAAGAGCAGAGCAAATAATAGTTCTCCTACTATACTGAAATTTCTGGCTGATGTGGGAGTAGCAGACAAGACTAATTCACACAACACCCAGAAAAAAACCTGCTCTGGAAGGAGAAGCAGCATGAAGCAATTTTGAAGACATGTTGTGTCTCTCATGCCTGAAATCTCTCATTTCTCTCTGACCTACAAGTTGTGTCACATACTCTGCAGATTTATTTGTTTTCCTCCTGAGTGCTGGCAGCTTCAGTACAACTGCTCTTCCAAGGCATCTGTCCAGCTGGAATGGGAACTCCACATGCCAGAGGTGGGTGTGCAGCAGCCAGGTCTGCCATCTCCACAAATATTTGGCTTTCCCCTGGGACAGGTGCCTGCAGCGGCTTTCCTTGAAAGTCATGTTCAGTTTTGTCTTCCTCTGTAGCTCCATCTCCTCCTCAAGCTACCCCCTTAGCACAAATGGCAGGCTCAGTTGCCTTTCTCCTGTAGCTCCCCGATGATTGTCTCTTGGACAGCATGCCAGCCCTTCCTGCCTCCCTCTCCTGCATGCCCACAGCTCTTGGGTCAGGAGCCTGCTGAGCTAAGCCAGGCATGGGCGTCTATGCACGGCTGCCCACACTCCATGTTAGCTGGAGCATCTCCTCCTACTTCTTGATGGGGACACATACATTGAAGGTTTAGGCATTTGCTGAAATGTACTAGACTAAAGAATCAATGACTAGGGCAGGGGCTATGCCATCTAAGAAATGGCCTGAAGTGTGCTTAGGATATTAACAATTGGTAGATAATAATAAAAAGTTGAAGCAGGTAAGCTGGTTGTGGACAGCTAATTCATGATGTGAAAGGGAGGGAACACTTGGAAGACATGAAAAAGTTCATCATATAAGACATGGGTTTAGCATCCAAGCCAGAAACCAACAGAGAATTGTGATTATCACTGGACAGGCTCGTGAAAAGTCTCAAATTTAACAACACTACAAATCCTGGCACTAAAGTGTGTGACACTGCACCCTCCTTGCACAGTGCTCAGTGAAGATACCACAATGTGATGTTATCACCTTTTGCTACAAGATCACTTTCTGCCCTGAGAAACAGATATTGAGACACTTAACAATATGGTACCTGTTAAGATTTTCCATGTGTTACTATGTAAGATTACCACTATTTCTATTTAGAGCTAGGGTTGATGACATCTACTAACCTTAGTTACTGGTAACATTCATTCTTGAATGCCTGCTTTTGCAGGTAGTATGTACTGTAATTCTTAGCCAGTATGAATTCCATTTTTGTTTTCTTGATCACTGTGCTTAATCCTTTAGGTATAGAACATGTTATGATTAGTTCATGATATTACACTCAATCAGTGCAGAACTTGAAGAACTACCATGTATTTTGTCTTTAATGATTGATAATAATTCTTATGCTTATTATGATTAATAATAATTCTTAATGCTAATGATTAATAATAACTTTTAGCATTTTGTAGGTTGGTGAAAGCCAATGTTCACTACCTAAACATTTTAAATGGACTCAGTGGATACTTAAATAACCTACTTAAATTTATGAAGGATTGCTGAGAAAGCTATATTTCTCTGTCAGCCTCTAGAAACCTCACACTTCAGACAATATGTCTGTTAAGCACAGTATCTCATCTTTATGATAGATGAGTTCTTCATGGTATATAGACTTGAAATTCTAAAAACCATAGTGTTTACTTATCACTACCATAGGTTGCTGAAGACTAATTTCTTTACAGAACTTGAAATAGGTGTTATCATTTGGAAGCAGTGAGAATGCTTCCTTGTGTTTTAATGTGTTTTAATGCTCTGATGGATGTTTCCTGGCCCACCCTCCCTACCTGTTCTGACAAAACTATTTTCTAGTTTAATTTAAATGCCTTTTGCCCTACCCAGTAATTCTAGCTTTTGCCAATCTGTCTTGAGAATAAAATTGCTTCTTTAGGCATTAGGAGTACCTGCAACTCATCTTTACTCTACTCCTTGCACTCAGTTGACCCTCATTAAAACTATTAAAACATTGCCAGTGCTGTCAGCTCATTCTTCAGCTACCTCTGTATCTAGAGACATATATGCTGCCATTTCTACTTGGTATATCACTGGTTCCAGTTTAGTCTTCCCAAAGACTTACTGAGTGATTCTTTTCCTGCTGCTCTGAACTGTTTTTTTTTTTTTTTTTTTTTTTTTTTTTTTTTTTTGTGTGTGTGTGTGTGTTTTTGTTTGTTTGTTTTTGTTTTTGTTTCATTCTAAAATTCTTCCCCATTTCTTGTACATAATGCATCACTTTGGCTCCAGCAGCTTAGGTAGTACCTCTGTAGTTTTTTGTCTTGTCAAAATATCACTCTTTACGTT